AAAAAGGAGACAATAGATGAGAGGTTTGATCGATATTGAATGTCGTAATTAGCTCTCTTCCTTTGGAGTTTAACAGGTTTTTTTTTTCTTTTGAGCTTGAGTCTTTTGAAGTTGGCGTATTCATCTTGATGCTTGTTGCTTTTTCGACTTGGACTTTTGTTTTTTGGCAAAAAGTTTGTGCTGCTTTGTTGCCTTTTGATCTAAGATCAAAACTGGCAGACTCAGAGAGTTTTTGTTTCTTTCTTGGTATTTCTGTTGTTTTGCTACTTTTGCATTTCGCCATTTCTTGACAAAGAAAAAATAAAGATGTCAACATTAATCCTAGAAAAAATTAAACATGCCAGAGAAAATTAAACATGTCAGAGAAAATTACACATAAGGGAGAAAACTAAGGTGGCCAGAGAAAATTAGACACAGAAAATTAGATGTTAGAGTACTAATTGTTTTCCTATTGAATACATCTAGCCATAGAAAATTTTCATTCCCAAATAAAATAAACAAAGCAACATAAACATGCCAGAGAAATTTTCAATAATTGCTAAAATTACATATGGAAGTAAAATATAACCAAAAAAAATTCAAAAAAAAACATAAATCAAGCAAGCCATAGAAAATTAAAATGCCCGAAAAAATTAAACAAGGCAAGCCAGAGAAAACTTTCATTCCACAATTAGCAAGAGAAAATAAACAAAGCAACATAAACATGCCACAAAAAATTACACAACAGAGAAATTTGGAGGAAATCAAGAATTGAATAAAATAAACATACTAGAGAAATTTTCAAAAAAGAAACATAAATATAGCAAGCCACAAAATATTAAAATGCCAAAGGAATTAATAGACACAACTAGAGAAAATTAAACATGGCAGATACACACAAGGGAGAAAAATAATGTAACTAGAGAAAATTATACATGCAAAAGAAAATTAGACACAAACAATAGAGTACTAAGGGTTTTCTTGTGGAATACATGTAGCCACAGAAAATTTCCATTCTCAAAATAAATAAATAAAGCAACATAAACATGCCAGAAAAGTTTTCAATAATTGCTAAAATTACATATAGAAGCAAAATATAGCCAGAGAAAATTCAAAAAAGAAACATAAATCTAGCAAGCCACAGAAAATTAAAATGTCAGAGAAAAGTACACATGCCAAAGAAAATTAAGCCATGGCAAAGTAGGAACAAGCAGCTTATGTTTTTCTAGAAAATTACATAACAGAGAAATTTGAAAGAAAGCAAGAATTGAACAAAATAAACATCACAGATAAATTTTCAAAAAAGAAATATAAATCTAGCAAGTCACAGAATATTAAAATGCTAGAGAAATTTACAGAGTAGAAAAAATTGAATGAATTGAACTTGAAAATTACACAGAGAAATATAGAGAAATTAATCATGCCAAAGAAAATATGGGACTAAACAGAAACAAATGGAAGAATAAACATGCTAGAGAAAATTCAAAGAAGAAACATAGAGAAATTCAAATGCCAAAGAAATTTATAGAAAAATTACACAATAATCTTCAAAAATAAGTTCAAAACGCAGAGAAATAACATTTTTCAAATTCATGTAATTTTTATTACGAAATTGAAATCCTAATTAATAGAAAGCTAATATAAAATGCAATTAACTGTATTTTCAGATAAAATCTCATTGGATTGTAGAAAAATTTACCAGAGTGAGGATGAAACCCAAATTATGAGCTGATATGTCTTGAGATGAAGATACACTGTCATGAAGATGAACTAAGATAACGATGAACAGTAAAAACGAGTCAAAGAAATTTGTGAGGAATGAATGAAAAAGATTTTCACAAAAGATAATGAAACTCTAATGTCGATAGTGAAGATGATTGTGAAACCCTAATTCTGCTCTTCTCCTGCTTGTGAAAATAGTTGGATATCAGAATTGGAACTCAGTCGTTGGAATCCAGTTGAGTTTTCTCGATTGATTGTGAAGTGTATTTTGGTCCAAGAAATAAATAAAAAAACGTGCATTCTAGTTGAGGGACCTGAGGCATCATTCCTTTTTTTGGTATCATTTATCCTTTAAATTACTATTATTAGGGATCTTAACAAAATTCCTCTTTTTATATGTTTTTTTAATAAATCCTTTTTCTAAAAGCTTTATTCCATCCAACCCATATTCTTTTTGACTATCCCATTAGGTACTATTTGAGGTAAGAAGACCAAAATACCCTTTTCATCTACTTATGTTCCATTTAGTCCACATTATTTTCTTATGTTTCAATAAGTCCTATGGATGACATAATTACCAAAATATCCCTAATGTGAATGTTCACATCGTCAATGTGAATGTTCACACCGTCAATGTGAATGTTCCTCTTTGAGGTAAGAAGACCAAAATACCCTTTTCATCTACTTATGTTCCATTTAGTCCATATTATTTTCTTATGTTTCAATAAGTTTTATGGGTGACATAATTACCAAAATACCCCTAATGTGAATGTTCACATCCTATGGATGACATAATTACTAAAATACCCCTAATGTGAATGTTCACATCGTCAATGTGAATGTTCACATTGTCAATGTAAATGTTCACACTGTCAATGTAAATATTCCTATTTGAGGTAAGAAGACCAAAATACCCTTTTCATCTACTTATGTTCCATTTAGTCCACATTATTTTCTTATGTTTCAATAAGTCCTATGGGTGGCATAATTACCAAAATACCCCTGATGTGAATGTTCACATCCTATGGGGTGACAGAATTACCAAAATACCCCTAATGTGAATGTTCACATCATCAATGTGAATGTTCATATCATCAATGTGTAGGGGTTCGGCCCAGCGCGGGCTGGGGCCAACCCATGTAAAGCCTTCTGGGTGCCTGCCAAAATTCGGGCCGGGTCGAACAGGCCCAAGGGCCAAAAATTAGGCCTAGGCCCCAGCCTTGGCACAAAGGTATTTAGGCTTTGGGTGCCCCGGTGGGTCGAACCAAGGGGCTTGGGCCTAGACTTAGGCTTGGGTCTGGCTTGGGTGAGCCTCGCCATTTTTTTTAATTTTTTTAATTTTTTCTGGCAAAATTTTATTATTTTCCACAAAAAAGACACCAAGCCTCTGGCGGGCCGGGCCTCGGGCCGAGCCTTAAATGGGCCTTATGCAGGTCGAGCTTCAAAGTGATGGCCCAGGTCCTAGCCCAAGTTCTCGGGCTGGGCTCGGGCCGCGGGAGGGCTTCGGGTGGCCCACGGGCCGCGGGCCAATTTTACACTCCTATCAATGTGAATATTCACGTTTTCAACAGGTCGAACCCGCTCCGGGCCGCGAGCTAATTTTACACTCCTATCAATATTAATGTTAACATTTCAATGTAAATATTCACCTTGTAAACGGGCCGGGCCCGCGGGTGGGTTTTGGGCCGCCTACGGGCCGCGAGTCAATTTTACACTCCTATCAACGTGAATGTTAATATGTTAATGTGAATATTCACATTGTCAACGGGCCGGACTAGGCCGGGCCCGCCCAGGGCAGCTCACGGGCCACCCACGGACCGCAGGCCAATTTTACACTTCTATCAATGTGAATGTTAACATATTAATGTGAATATTCACATTGTCAACGGATCGGGCCTGCCCCGACCTAGGGGGGAGCTTTGGACCGCCCACAACACATGGGCTAATTTTACATTCTTACCAATGTGAATGTTAAAATATGAATATTTACAGCCCGCCTCACCCCAGGCAACGGACGGGCTTCGGGCTGCCCACAGGCCGCGGGCCAATTTTACACTCCTATCAATGTGAATGTTAACATGTCAATGTGAATATTCACATTGTCAATGGGCCGGGCCGGGCCCGCGGGTGAGTTTCGAGCCGCCCACGGGCCGCGGGCCAATTTTATACTCCTATCAATGTGAATGTTAACATGTCAATGTAAATATTCACATTGTAAACGGGCTGGGCCTGCGGGCGGGTTTCGGGCCGCCTATGGGCCGCGGGTCAATTTTACACTCCTATCAACGTAAATATTAATATGTTAATGTGAATATTCACATTGTCAACGAGTCGGGCCAGGCCGGGCCCGCCTTCGGCAGCCCACGAGCCGCAGACGGGTTTCAGGCCGCCCACAGGCCGTGGGCCAATTTTACACTTCTATCAATGTGAATGTTAACATGTCAATGTGAATATTCACATTGTCAACGGACCAAGGCCGCCCCTGCTCGGGGGCGAGCTTCGGACCGCCCACGGGCCACGGGTCAATTTTACATTCTTACCAATGTGAATGTTAAAATATGAATATTTACAGCCCGCCCCGGGCAACGAGCAGGCTTCAGGCCGCCCACGGGCCACGGGCCAATTTTACATTCCTATCAATGTGAATGTTAACATGTCAATGTAAATATTCACATTGTAAATGGGCCAGGCCCGCGGGCGGGTTTCGGGCCGCCTACGGGCTGCGGGTCAATTTTACACTCCTATCAACGTGAATGTTAATATGTTAATGTGAATATTCACATTATCAACGGGCCGGGCCAACCCCGTCCCGGGCAGCCCATGGGCCACGGGCGGGTTTCGGGCCACCCACGGGCCGCGGGCCAATTTTACACTTCTATCAATGTGAATGTTACCAGGTCAATGTGAATATTCACATTGTCAATGGACTGAGCCCACCCCGGCCCGGGGGCGATCTTCGGACTGCCCACGGGCCACGGGCCAATTTTAAATTTTTACCAATGTGAATGTTAAAATATGAATAATTACATCATAAAATTGCTAACCGTTCAAAAAATATTTGTAAGAGTATCAAAATTAAATATAAGGGCATAAGAGTCTAAAAAAAGTGTAAATCAAGAAAAAGAACTTTATGGAATAAAACTATATATACATGGGACAAAATGGGTTAATAAATTTTTTCATGAATTTTTTGAGTTAAAACACTTCTAAATGGGATTTATCACTTTAAAAAATCAAAATAATAATTTTTAATAATTTAGGGGTCTTCACGTAATTAATAACCTTTTAACGAAAGAACACATACACGAAGCTTTTGGCACAATAAAATAACAGAGACACAGTGTTCCTCCTTCTCAAACCCTATCACTCCACTCTCTGCGCTTTGCTCCTCTCTCCTCTCGCGGCGTAGGGTTTTGCTGCAAAGCCCTCTTCACGGGTCTATTTTTCTTTCTCTTTATACGATATATAGATCGCTACATGTATAAATTTTTCGATATATATCTGTTTCTTCATTCTGCTTAGATTTGTTGTTTTGCTGATTGTGTATAAGGAATTATGTTTTTGAATTCGTTTTTATTTATTTATTGTTCTTTTGAGATCCTGTAATTCGATTTACTCGTTGGATCTTCGTTTATGTCTTTATTTTGTTTGAATTGTGGTCTTTTCATGTTTTAGATGTATGGTCTGTTCAGTTTCGAACAGTTTGTTGGTTTCTCTTGGAAATAATTGCTCTGTTCGTATTTACATGCTTGATTGATGTATGTGGAAATTAGTTTTTTTGTCGAATTAGTTTTTTATTATGGTCTCAGAGCATCTCCAATCTTCGCCAATTCTTTCATCAAATTCCAATTTCATGAATAATGAGCTAAAAGTGGGCTTCAATCATTTCACTATACTTGTATCAAATCAAGGTTGAATCAAATCCTTACCAAATTTCCAATGGTCATTTTTACTCAAAATTTGATGAAATTTTAAAAAGAGCCCGGGTTGTAGATGATTTTTTTTCCCCATAAAAAATGGTTAAAACATGTTTTTAGGCTAAGTTTGGAATTTTTCAAAAATATTTGATGAAAGAGATAAAGGATTGGAGTGTTCCATACCAATTTGCCCTCAGTTCAGCGATTTACCTTCAAATCATGTTTCACATTTATTTTGTTGTTGTATGCAATGTTCTGAAACCCGGATCATTGGTCAAACCAGAAAGGTGACCAGGTCACGGGTCACGGGTCCAATTGTCGGGTGAACCGAAATCGAACCGTGACGTCATAATTATCTAATAAATACATTAATAATTATTTTTAAATTAAAAAAAAAAATAGGAATTAAGATTCATTCATTAAAAATATTTTATACTTTAAGATATATATAATTTATATAAATATGTCTTTGATAAGAGGAATATAGTAAGAGTTAAAGTAATAGAATTTGTCAAATTGATGTATCGTTATTGTCTCTCTCACTTTTCTCTCGCTTTCTCACTCTCTCACGTTTCTTGTCTTTGCTCTCATTCTTTTTTTGGTGTTGGTATGTAAGGATGATGTTTAATTTGCATTTGCTTTTGTTTTTAGTTTTGGATGTTTTATGAATGTTTGAAGACTTTTAGGTTAATAGGAATCTCTTTATTTATTAATTTACTTTAAGTTTTATTTTCATGCATATTACATTATTAAAATTATAAAAATATTTTTTTTTTACCAACGTATTCCCGCCGTACCTGTATCACACTTTTTCAAATTTTGACATATTGTGCTTCCTAGATTATCATTGATGACTTAAAAAAGTATATTTGCTGAAATTTTTATTTAATAATGGTTTTTTGGCTTTAGCTAAGGTCCTGTGATATTCACTGATGAAGGGGAACAAGTTGAAGCTATTGATCTTGAAGACTCTTAGTTTTATAGGAATCTTTCTTCTTTATTAAATTGTCTTTTGTTATAGGTTTTATTTTTATGCATACTGCATTACTAAAAATTATAAAAATAATATTTTTACGAACGTATCCCTGCCGTACCCGTATCCTAGTTTTTCAAATTTTTCCGTATCGCCGTATCCGTATCGTATCGTATCCGTATCCCGTATCTATATCCGTGCTTCCTAGGCGATTTACCTTCAAATCATGTTTCACATTTATTTTGTTGTTGTATGCAATGTTTTGAAACCCGGATCATTGGTCAAACCAGAAAGGTGAACGGGTCACGGGTCACTGGTCCATTTGTCGGGTGAACCGAAATCGAACCGTGACGTCATAATTATCTAATAAATACATTAATAATTATTTTTAAATTAAAAAAAAAATAGGAATTAAGATTCATTCATTAAAAATATTTTATACTTTAAGATATATATAATTTGTATAAATATGTTTACCCAATATATATTTATACATATATTTTTTGTTAATATTGTTTGTAAAAATGTTAATTATAATAGTATTGGAAAGAAAATTAATTGAATACAATAAATAATATACATTCACTCTTTATATTAAATGAGGGTTGTTGGTCCAGTGGTAGTGCTTTGCACTCATATGCGCGAGGTTTCATGTTTGATGCCTCTTAACAGCATTTTTTCAATGCCTACACTAGGCACATTGAAGCCTAACCAACCCAGATCCAGTTCGCGGGTTTTACCTCTTTAATTGAAAGAGGCTGATTTTGCAATTGCAACGGTTTAGGGGTATATCCAGACCGGAACTTGGACTCGTTGACGAGTCAACCAGTCAAACCGGCTGGTCCGGTCCGATTTTCAAAACATTGGAAGTATGTTTTTTTTTTTTTCTTTTTAGTTATTGTGTTGTTCTATATTAGAATTGTGTTGCATTTTAGATAAATTTTAATTACAAAAAAACATTTTAGTTTTTTTTTGTATCTCATCTGATTGATAGAAACTTGTTAAAAATATTTTATAGATAAATTTTAATTACAAAAAACATGTTAGTTTTTTTTTTTTTTTTTGGGGGGGGTTATCTCATCTCATCTGATAGAAACTTATTAAAAATATTATATAGAAACTATTAACCTCTTGACCTCAAAAGTGATGCCATCTTATGTTTTGGTATTGACAATTCAGACAACATTTTCTTGTTCCATTAATGAGGGCAAATGGAATTAATGAGTGATGAGCCATCCAAAGTGAAAGGTTACATGTACATGAGATGTTGTCACTTAAATATAGGAATGAGAGAAGATTGCTCACCTTTTCTTTTTCTATAATAAGGGACATTTTCAGGAGGAGCGTATTTTTTTAAAAAAGATTTTTGGCTCAGAATACTTCTTGCATTTTGATGTTTATGCAATTTTAGTCTATTATTTGTTGTATCACTATCTGTCTTTGTCTGAGGTTTTGTGTTCCTTGCAATTTTCATGCCAAGTGATTTGTAGTAAACTGCACAATAGTGTTTTTAAATTGTGGGAAATGTTAATTGATAACAGAGTCCTGATAAATAGCTATCTTTTGGCTTCTATGACAGTTCCTAGATATTCATAATGGGTAAGGAGAAGGTTCACATTAACATTGTGGTCATTGGCCATGTCGACTCTGGAAAGTCAACCACCACTGGCCATTTGATTTACAAACTTGGAGGTATTGACAAGCGTGTCATTGAGAGGTTTGAGAAGGAGGCTGCTGAGATGAACAAGAGATCATTTAAGTATGCTTGGGTGCTGGACAAGCTCAAGGCTGAGCGTGAGCGCGGTATCACCATTGACATTGCATTGTGGAAGTTTGAGACCACCAAGTACTACTGCACTGTCATTGATGCTCCTGGACATCGTGACTTCATCAAGAACATGATTACCGGAACTTCCCAGGCCGATTGTGCTGTCCTTATCATTGACTCCACCACTGGAGGTTTTGAAGCTGGTATTTCCAAGGATGGCCAGACCCGTGAGCATGCCTTGCTAGCTTTTACTCTTGGTGTCAAACAGATGATCTGTTGCTGCAACAAGGTTAGCTTTTCGGACCTCTGCTTGTTACTACTTATAAATGTTGATGTAAGATGTGTGCATTTGAAATTCTTCAAATCTATTTTCTCACGGAAATTGAAGGTATAGCTCTATAGAGCATCTGTAAGGTTGCCACAACATTGGCAATTTAAGATCATAAAAAGATTTAAGACAACAATTCTATTGTTTGGTACTTTTCTGAACATTTGAATGATTGAAATTTGAAATCAATCATTTTCCCCTCCATATATATATATATATTTGTACGTTTTCAGTTGGATTTTTTTCTCAGTTGAGATGTTAAAATTATATATATATATTTATGTAGATGGATGCGACAACCCCGAAGTATTCCAAGGCAAGGTATGACGAAATTGTTAAGGAGGTTTCATCGTACTTGAAGAAGGTGGGATACAACCCTGATAAGATCCCTTTCGTCCCCATCTCTGGATTCGAAGGTGACAACATGATTGAGAGGTCCACCAACCTTGATTGGTACAAAGGCCCAACTCTGCTCGAGTCCCTGGACATGATTTCAGAACCCAAGAGGCCCACAGACAAGCCCCTCCGTCTCCCACTTCAGGATGTGTACAAGATTGGAGGTATTGGAACTGTGCCAGTGGGACGTGTCGAGACTGGTGTCCTCAAGCCCGGTATGATCGTAACTTTTGGTCCCACTGGCCTAACCACTGAAGTCAAGTCTGTGGAGATGCACCATGAGGCTCTCCAGGAGGCTCTTCCGGGTGACAATGTGGGTTTCAATGTGAAGAATGTTGCTGTGAAGGATCTCAAGCGTGGGTTTGTTGCATCAAATTCCAAGGACGATCCGGCCAAGGAAGCAGCTAACTTCACTTCTCAAGTTATTATTATGAACCATCCCGGTCAGATTGGGAATGGTTATGCCCCTGTTCTTGATTGTCACACATCCCATATTGCTGTTAAGTTTGCTGAACTTGTGACCAAGATCGATAGACGGTCTGGTAAGGAGCTTGAGAAGGAGCCAAAGTTTTTGAAGAATGGTGATGCTGGGTTTGTTAAAATGATCCCCACCAAGCCCATGGTTGTTGAGACCTTCTCCGAGTATCCCCCACTAGGGCGTTTTGCTGTGAGGGACATGAGACAGACTGTGGCTGTTGGAGTCATCAAGAGCGTGGAGAAGAAGGATCCTTCTGGAGCCAAGGTCACAAAATCTGCTGCTAAGAAGAAGTGAATTGTGCAGGGTCGGTTTCCTTCAGTTGAAGGACCTTATTATCATTATTATAGTCGTCATAAAAACTGGGCTTTTGTTAGTAGTCATGTCATCTCGATTGGACTTTTACTTGGTTGCGTGGTCGATTTTAATATTGCGTATTTGCTGTTGTTGGGCACCAGTTCTCAGAACTGGGTGCTTGATAGGCGGTGGCAGGGCTTTGAGCCGGGTCTTTTGTTTGTCTATTTGTGGTTTATTAAGTGGGAGTAGTGTTTGAAATTCCTGCCATGTATGTAGTTGAGGGAGTTGCTAGTACACTATGTTTTCCTGTGCTGTGCAGGCGTTTCCTATATTGTTTAGTAAGATCTGGATTTTGTGGTTTTAAATAAAATGTCCTGCTTTGTGGTAGTCTTAACTACTCTTTTGGAATTTGCTTGTTGAATTCTCTGGCTGTCTGTTGGGTATGTGCTAATGCAGGAGTTGGGAGCATGAGTGGAATGGAATAAGAATAGCCATTCTTGACCCTCATTGTATTTGCACATTTGATTTGCTCAAAATTGGCAGGATGGGAAGATTGCTAGGTTTTGTTTGAATGACAAGATCTTTAAGAGAAATGGGAAAATTATCATCTATGTTTGAATGGCAGGAATAGTAAGGAAAAATGGGAATCTCATTGCTACTAATAAAATTCATGTGTGTATGCTATTAAAATGTCTGGTAATTGATTCTTAATTTGATAAATGATTCTTAAATAAATAATGAGGAATCATTATCTCATTCCATTTCATTTTAAATGTTAGAATCATGAGATTTGGAATCACATTCTCATTTCTTCTCAAAATTATAAGGTTTGATTTTTTTGTTAGGATTTATTAATGAGAAAATAATAAAATTTTGAATATTGTGGGTCCAAGTATTATTTTTAATATTGTGGGTTCATGTATTACTTTTTTACTCTTAAATAGCTAGCATTACTCTTAAGAATGTGAGATTCTTTTGAAAAAGGGAGGGAATTAGATTCTAACAATAATGTGATTTTTGCTAGGAATATACTGTTGGAAAATTTGGTTTTTTATAGGCTTATTTCGGGCTAATTTTAAGGTCAAATTTGAGTGGGGTCCACACGTCTTTTGAGGTCGGTCCAAAGAGGTAACACGACGTGTTCCTTGCTGCATGGCAAGTCACACGGTGAAGACGGTTCGTCAAAACCATTTATGAGTGAATGAGAACTTGACGTCGTTTTTGGGTTCGTGGAATAGAAAATTAAAAAATTAAATGTGGGTTTCCTTATAAGATTTGTCCCACATTGAAACTTTAAGTGAGTTTTTGTGAGTATATAATCGCTTGGTGTACTAACTTGGGTTGGACTCCAAGGGGTACCCCAAGTTTGTAGAAGGAAGGAATTATGGACAAAGTAAACCTTAGCCCAAACCATCACACGCGCACCGCCGCCATCTGACCGGCCGTGCCGAGTGTAGGTTGTGGGTTAAGTCGGTTCTAACATTAAGTTATTTGAATTCAATTTTTTTTTTGTCCAAAAATTGTGCCTCCGAATTCCACTAAATTCACAGGTTTTTTGAATTCAAATTTTTTTGGTCCAAAAATTGTGCCTCCGAATTCCATTAAATTCCCAACTGTTAAACAGGTTTTTTAACTGACCGGACATATTCAAATCTTCCAGCAGTTTTCCAACAGATAGAAACTGCCCAGCAGTTATCTGTTTGTACCTGTCCAATTTAAATTTGCATCTATTCAATCAAAAAACCTACCTGTTCGGGTCTATATATATAGCAGGCCATATCCAAGAGTCATTCCATTCAGAAAAGTCATTTTTTTTTGCCTTCATTTTGCTCTCTTACATCAATTATTCTTCATATTATTTTAGGAAACAATTCAGAGAGTATAGAACACAGGTTTTGTTCGCCGAACAAATAATTTGTGAAGATCATTGTATCCTGCGAGACAGACGTCATTTATCCGTAAGCACCATAAGCGCGGCGAATTTGTCTTAAGGACAGAGTATCACACACTCAACTTGATCTTTTAAAGTTTAATTCGGTTCGGTAAATAAATTTGGTAAGTAATTTATTTTATTTATTTGATTCAGTTTCAAGTTATTTATTTTACACAGAAGATTGTTCTAATAATCTTAAGACAGATTCGAATTATTCTGTTTATACAGAATTTTTCGTTTGTTTCCTTTTCTCTTTCTTCTTCTTACGGAAATTATTTTCTGTGGTTTTACAAAATAATATTCTGGTTGGAAAAACAAATAATAGTAATATACTGTTTAACAGATAGTAGTAATATACTATCTATTTTCTTTGACAACTAGTAGTAATATACTAGTGTCATTGACAATTCAGAATATTTATTTGTGAAGTTTGTCAGAAATTAATTTTGGTTTTCAGAAATAATTTCTGAGTGTTCATTAATTAAAATTCTGTTTTAGTATTTTAATTATTGAAGTGCTACAGAAATTTAATTTTCTGTGTGGAATTAATTTGGTTAAATAAAATTTTATTTTATTTTCAAATTAATTAGAAATAAAAGTTATGATTCGTGTTTCTTTTATTTTACAGAGTTTAATTCTATGGTTTTGGTTTAATTTTTCTGTATAGTATACAATTCTAATTATAATTGTGTTTTATAATTTAGAATTCATGGCTACTGAAACTGGTCAAATTAATACTTAAACAAGTACTAGTGTTGTGGTTGCAATTGCTCCAATCCCTCCTGCTATGATTGTGCCAGTCAATCACGGTAAGAAGCTAGAGAAGTTCTTAGGAACTGATTTTAAAATATGGTAACAAAAAATATTGTTCTATCTTACTACTCTCAACCTGGCTCGGTTTCTCCATAAGGATGCTCCTATTCTGAAAGAGGATGAAACCGACCGGCAAGTGGTTGCTGTGGTCAATGCCTGGAAACATGCTGATTTCCTTTGTCGGAATTACATCTTGAACAGACTTGACAACACATTATATAGCGTCTACAGTCCTATCAAGACAACAAAGGAACTTTAAGAGTCTTTGGAAGAAAAGTACAAAACAGAAGATGCTGGCTTAAAGAAATTTGTGGTTGGTAAATTCCTAGACTTTGTGATGGTTGATTCTAAGACTGTGATCAGGCAAGTTCAAGATCTCCAACTCATTCTGCATGACATTCATACAGAAGGTATGTCTCTCAGTGAATCCTTTCAAGTTGCTGCCTTAATTGAAAAATTACCACAAAGCTGGAAGGAATTCAAGAACTACCTCAAACACAAGCTCAGAGAAATGTCTTTAGAAGAATTTATTGTGCGTTTGAGGATTGAGGAGGACAAACGCAATTCTGATAAGCAGGCTGATAAGCATCCAATGGAGTCTAAGGCAAATGTGGTGGAACATGCTTCAAAAGCAAAGAAACGGAAATATTCTAGAGAAAGTTCCACACAAGGCTCTAAAGGAGGGGAAAATAAGAAATACAAGTTCAATAGAAAGTGTTACATCTGTGACAAAAAGGGACATCGGACTAAAGATTACTGTAGCAAACGCAAAGGCAAAGGAAGATCAAGCAGGAAGCCTGCTCAAGCCAATATGACCGAAGTGGACAAAATTTCCAATGGTGTTGATGACATAAATCTTTCTGCAGTTGTTTCCAAAGCAAATCTTGTCGGAAATTCAAAAAGAATGATGGGTGGACACTGGTGCTACTCGCCACATCTGTGCCGACAAAAAAATGTTCACATCTTATTCAATAGTGGACAACGGTGAACAACTTTTTATGGGCAACTCCTCAATTTCTAAAGTTGGAGGACAAGGAAAGATTATTTTGAAGATGACATCTGGAAAGGAACTCACTCTCAACAATGTGCTGCATGTACCAGACATTCGCAAGAACCTTGTTTCCGAATCTTTGTTGAGTAAAAATGAGTTTAGGGTAGTTTTTGAAAGTGACAAGTTTGTACTTATCAAAAACGGGATGTATGTAGGAAAATGTTACATGACTGATGCCCTTTTCAAAATGAATGTAATTACTGTTGTACCTTCTGTTATTAATAAAAATACATCTTCTTCTTACTTGCTTGAGTCTTCAAATTTATGGCATAATAGACTTGGACATGTTAATCATGGATCTTTGTGTAGATTAATTAATATGGAATGTTTACCTAAATTTGATATTGATTTAAATCATAAATGTGAAATTTGTGTTGAGGCAAAATTAGTTAAAACTCCTTTCCATTCAATTGAAAAAAGTACGGGACCACTTGAATTAATTCATAGTGACATTTGTGATTTTAAATCAATTCAAACCAGAGGTGGGAAAAAATATTTTATTATTATTTTTTTAATTCGAACCAAGGATGAAACTTTGGAAACTTTCATTCAATATAACAATGAAGTTGAAAATCAACTTGGTAAGAAAATTAAGAAACTTAGAAGTGATAGAGGTGGTGAACATAAATCACTTTTTGGAGAGTTTTGTAAAGAACATGCAATAATTCATCAAACGACCACTCCTTACTCACCTCAGCAAAATGGAATTGCTGAAAGGAAAAATAGGAATTTAAAAGAAATGATGAATGTCATGTTAATAAGTTCTAAATTACCTCAGAACTTGTGGGGAGAAGTAATACTTTCTGCTAATTATATACTAAATAAAGTATCTCGAAAGAAAGTGAATCAAACACCTTATGAATTGTGACATAGGAGAGTACCATCCTATAAATACTTAAAAGTGTGGGGGTGTTTGGCTAAAGTGGCTATTCCTAGTCCTAAAAAGACTAAGATAGGTTCTAAAACCGTTGATTGTATTTTCATTGGTTATGCCAAGAATAGTAGTGCATATCGATTTTTGATTTATAAATCCGAACATTCCGAAATGCATGTAAATACTATTATTGAATCTCGGAATGCATCGTTCTTTGAACATGTATTTCCAAACAAGACTGGACAAGAGACTAGTACTAATAAAACATCTCATAATGCTATTACTAGCCATGATCAAGAACAAGATCAAGAACAAGAGCAAGAGATAGATCAAAATGAGGAAGAGGAACCTAGGCATAGTAAACGTGCTAGAACCTCAAAATATTTTGGTCCAAATTTTCAAACTTTTTTGTTAGAAAATAAGCCTTTAACTTTTAAAGAAGCTATGTCCAGTGCTGAGGCTCCTTTATGGAAAGAAGCTGTAAACAGCGAAGTTGAATTCATCCTACAAAATCACACTTGGGAATTGGTGGATTTACCACCAAGCTGTAAACCTGTTGGGTACAAGTGGATTTTCAAAAGGAAAATGAAAGCGGATGGATCAATTGACAAATACAAGGCAAGACTTGTGGTCAAAGGATATAGACAAAAAGAAGGTCTTGATTACTTTGACACATACTCACTAGTTACCAGAATAACATGCATTAGAATGCTAATTGCCATT